CCAGGTGAGAGCGGCGGGACGCGGGGCCCAGGCCGGGCCGCGATGACGAGAGGCCCTTTAGGGCGCGGGACGGCGACAGGCCTGGGGCTCGCTTGGGCGCAGCCTTTGCCGGGCCTGGGCTTTTCTCGGCCTTAGCAGTGCTGCGCCGGCCCTTCCGGGATTACCCCCGCCGCCGCCTCTCACGAACTGCCCACCGGCCTCGCTGCTGTCCCCGCTCTTGGGTGACCGCGGCCTCCCTTCATCTCCTCCACAGCAGCTATTCCCAGCCCTGTGGCCTGGGGTGCAGCGCCGTCCCGCAAGGGTAGGACTCTTTGCTGTGGCCTGCATGGTCTGGGGTGCAAGTGCCATTCGCAAGACTGGCCTGGAGATTTTAAGCATGAATCCGTGGTGTCCGCAACGTTCAGGGCAGCCACGGGCTTCCCAAGCTCCTTTTGTGAGGGAAGACTGGCACTGCCACTTTTCCGTAGTCAAAAAACCAAGTCGAAACAAAGAGCTGGTGTTTTCTGAGAGGTACCTCAAGCGTCAAAAGGTCAAGAGCCGCTGCTCTCGAGGGTGTGAGGAAACGCGGGAGGGTGCCTTGGTTTGTGCTTCGAATCAGGCTTCGTTTTATGTGGGGAGCTGTTGGGGTTGGGACTATATTTATAATCCTCTTCGTGAGCTCAGAAGCGCCAAAAATACGTGCAAAATGCAGCAAAAGACGCAGGAGCTGTCCCTGCTGCTTTGAAGTTGTGTTTATTAAAGGAGAACAGTATTTACCATTTTACCATTCCCTGTTTATTCCCATTGGCACAAAGAAAACTAAACCAAGCGGAGCTGGAAATCTAGTATGAGAGAGGAAATGCACTGAACGCTATTCAAAAGCAACTCCTAAAGCAAAATTAAACAGTCCCTAAACTTGAAATGTTTACTAACTTGAAGAGGCCAACTGTATGTATTGTAAGACAAAAGAAGACTGTGGAGTCGAGATCACTGACATACGAATATACCCATAGAAATACAGGTATCAAGAGCTAAAATGTGTGAAATTGACCATTAATAGGCAGTAGGGGTGCACCCGTACAGATTTTTTTGGCCAGTACTGGTAGCCAATTAACAACCAGCCATACTGGCTGACACCAAATTGATAGCTGATATGCAGCCTGGAGAACAGTGTCCTGCTGCTAAGTCTGTGGGGGGGGGAAAGGGTGTGTGGGGGTGCAGATCGAGGCCCCCACAGTGAAGGAGGGAGTGGGATGAGACCTAAGCATTAATATCTAATGTGCAGTGAAGAGATCTGAATAAATCAGTACTTCTTAGATTTCTGAAAATTAAACTCTTCATAACAGAAAATAAGAATGGAAGCAACCATGCTTCTCT